CACATGCCTGTGACCCCACCTGCTCAGGTGGCTGAGATGGGAGGATCACTTGAGCCTGGGAAGTCAAGGCTTCAGTGAGCCAACATCACACCGTTGCACTCCAGCATAGATGACGGTGCAAAACTGTATCTCAAAAACTTTTTAAAAAATTAAATTTAAATTAAATTATACAGAAATATTACCCTGTAACATAACAAATAAATTATAGGGTCAACTGTCTGTGGCATCATCAAAACATTCTAAGAATAATTTTTACATTTATTCATTCATAAAATATTAATGTGTTTCTGCTGTGTATTATGCTAAACACTAAATATTCAGTAATGAACAAAACTGATACTGCTACTGGGCTGGTAACAAGAGCGATACTCCGTCTCAAAAAAAAAAACAACAGATACTGCTACTGTCTTTATGGTGCTTACAATCTATTCTCTCTATAGGAATATATAGAATATAAAGCAAGATTTATACAAAGTGAAATTGTTTAGGTTATTGCTAGTTAAAAATGTGTTTAAGGTAAACTTTTGTTACATTTTACCTTTCTTCAAAGCTTTCAAAAAAATTAACTGGTTTTTTTTAAAAAAGTAATTTTTTCACCCTCATTTTTCTTTTAGAATACTCCTGAGAACTTACATAAAGTGGCTAAACATAATCTCTTGCTTCATTTGAAAAAACTAGAAAAAGAAGGAAAAATATGTGAGTATGCTTCCAAATTTTCTTCTGTTACCAGCATTTAAAATATTTTTACAGATGCCTTAGTTTCCTTTGAGGAAAAATAATACCCATCAAAGTTCTCCCATGAATATCACTTTAAGGTGGAGAGACAGACACTAGGATGGTCAGTAGCACAAGGCCAGTTGACCACAAATTGGAACCAAAAGCTCACATGGGAATTAGAATCTCAGTTGGAATTCCAGTCCTACCCACCAGAATGGCAATAGAAGACATGTAGTAGGAAGATAACTTCTCCAAGACCCCAAAACTACAAAGAATTTTACATGTGGTAGATTTGGGAACAGCCAAAGGTTTTAAACAGTATTAAAGGTAGTAAGCTCAGAGACGTTAAAGCAGTAATTACATAATCATTTTCTAGTGTTTTTAATTTGTCAAACTAATAATCTTTATAAAAATGTAGTCCTTAAAATCAAGAATTTCTAAGCTTGAATTTCATGTAGAAGCCTTAGCAATGTTTCTACATATACCAAAAATACCCAACTTTATGTTGAGCAACAAAATTTTAAGAACGAGTGCTTTTTCTAGCCACAAGATAACTTAAAATCCAGTGCTTTTACTTATCTGTTGTTAAATTGTTACTCTCTGATTTTCTTTCTACAGTTAGCAACACAGATCCTGACAAGAAATGGAAAGCTCATCTTTAATTTCAGATTAAAGAAAGCTTGTTTTATTTTGCTTTGAGAGAATGGTATGTTTTCTTAACTATAGGTTATTTATAGAGAATATAAAAGTATAAAATATTAAAAGTCACCCTAGATATACTTTAAAATAATATTTTGCTAAAATATGTAAATTACACTATATTGCCATATGATAGGTTATTTCTCTAACCTTGGTCTTATATAATGTTTTACCAAAAATTCAGACTCTAATAGTTTATCAGTTTTCAATGGATTATGTAAAATGGTTACTTTAAAAATAATAAAATTTATCTAATTTAAACGATATTATTTTTGGTGGTTAGTTATCTATTACTAGTGATCAGTAATACGGTTTTCTATAGCTACTTTATTTAACAGCACAGATTTCTATGCACCCGTACTCTTTCCTCAACCCTTGTCTCTATTTGTGCATAATCACTTTGTCTTGATGTTTCTATCAACTATATAATGACTATCTATTGGTTCCATAACTCTGTATCATGTGTATTTTCTTCATCTGGTGTACCACAAATGATCCATGCAAATGATTTTTTGGTGACTGAAAAATATTAAATTCCCAATTTAAAGTATTACATGATAATTATTTCTGTAATCCATTATTACAACCAACATACTTCCCAAGTTTACATTTTAGTATGTAAATAGTCATCAGCTTATATATGAATTACATACCAAAAGTTTACTTTTAAATTAAAGGATTATAAGATAGGGCATTTTTTATATTTTTATATAAGTAATGTTCTTATATAGTGGTTAGGTTCACAAGGTAGTCCACCAATCATTATTTAACTTATACCGTTATCAAACTGTCATACTAACATAAGCCTAGAATCCTGAGTATACTTTGTTTATTCTTCCCTAATGGGTGAGAATTTTAAAAGTTTTTTGTTTATGGCCGGGCGCGGTGGCTCAAGCCTGTAATCCCAGCACTTTGGGAGGCCGAGGCGGGTGGATCACGAGGTCAAGAGATCAAGACCATCCTGGTCAACACAGTGAAACCCCGTCTCTACTAAAAATACAAAAAATTAGCTGGGCATGGTGGCGCATGCCTGTAATCCCAGCTACTCAGGAGGCTGAGGCAGGAGAATTGCCTGAACCCAGGAGGCGGAGGTTGCAGTGAGCCGAGATCGTGCCATTGCACTCCAGCCTGGATAACAAGAGCGAAACTCCGTCCCAAAGAAAAAAAAAAAAAAAAAAAAAGTTTTTTGTTTATTCATTTGGTTTTGAGACAGAGTCTCTCTCTGTCACCCAGGCTGGAGTACAGTTGCACAATCTCAGCTCACTGTAGTCTCTACCTCCCAGGCTCAAGCAATCCTTCCACCTCAGCCTCCTGAATACTGGGACTACAGGCACACAGCATCACACCTGGCTAATGTTTTTATTTTTTATAGAGACAGAATCTCACTATGTTGTCTAGGCTGGTCTTGAACTCCTGGGCTCAAGCAGTCCTCCTCTCTCCACCTCCCAGAGTGCTAGGATGATAGACATGAGCTTCCACACCCCACCAGACTTAAAATTTTTTTAATTTTCTTTGGTAGCTTCACCTCTTTCTGCCTGTTTTCCCAAGGTCCCTAGCATTTTCATGCCATTCTAATACACTTATTCTCATGCTTTGAAGACCTAAACCCATATTCCTAAAACTGTTTCTTATTACAAAATAACTGTAAACTCAAAAGCAACCTAATTGAAAAATAGCCAATGAACTTGAATAGACATTTCTCCAAAGAAGATATACAAGTGGCCCATAAGCACGTGAAAAGATATTCATCATCACTTATCATTAGATAAATGTAAATCACAACTACGAGATACTGCTTCAGGACCATTAGGGTGGCTGTAATTAAAAATTTCTTTTAGGCCGGGCGCGGTGGCTCAAGCCTGTAATCCCAGCACTTTGGGAGGCCGAGGCGGGTGGATCACGAGGTCAAGAGATCGAGACCATCCTGGTCAACATGGTGAAACCCCGTCTCTACTAAAAATACAAAAAATTAGCTGGGCACGGTGGCGCGTGCCTGTAATCCCAGCTACTCAGGAGGCTGAGGCAGGAGAGTTGCCTGAACCCAGGAGGCGGAGGTTGCGGTGAGCCGAGATCACGCCATTGCACTCCAGCCTGGGTAATAAGAGCGAAACTCAGTCTCAAAAAAAAAAATTTTTTTCAAACAGAAAATGACAAATGTTGGCAAGAATATGGGGGAATTGGAGCCCTTGTGCATTGCTGATAGGAACATAAAATAGTGTAGCCACTATGGAAAACAGTATGGTGCTTCCTCAAAAAAACCTAGACTTATCATATGATCCAGAAATTTCACTTCTGACTATATACCAAAAAATTAAAAGCAGGGACTTGAACAGAAATTTTTACATCCATGTTCACAGCAACATTATTCACAATAGCCAAAATGTGGAAGCAACCTAAATGTCCATTGAAAAATGACCGAATAAAATGTATATGCATACAGCAGAATACTATTTTTCTTCTTAAAAAGGAGGGAAATTCTGACGTGCTACAACATAGATGAACCTTGAAGACATTATGCTAAGTGATATAAGTCTGTCACAAGGATAAATACTATATAATAATACTTATAGGAGGTGCCTAGAGTAGTCAAATTCATAGACACAGAAAGGGGGACAAGGAGGAAAGGGAAATGGGAAGTTGTTGTTTGATGTAAGGAGTTTTGCAGTTTGGGCACGTGAAAAAAGTTCTGGGGATAGGTGGTAGCAGTCATTGCAAAACACTGTCAGTGTTTATGTCACTGAATGATACTGTGTTGTGTCACTAAATGATAATGTGTTAGCATTCTCCAGAGGGGCAGAACCAATAAGATATATGTATATATAAAGGGAGCTTATTAGGGAGAATAGGCTTACACAGTTACAAGACAAAATCCCACAATAGGCTGTCTGCAAGCTGGGGAAAAAGAGAAGCCAGTATCATGGCTCAGCCCAAGTCCAAAAGCCTCAAAACCAGGGAAGTTGACAGCGCAGCCAAGGCTGAAGCCAAAGGCCCCAGAACTACTGGGAGGCTACTAGTGCAAGTACCAGAGTCCAAAGGCCAAAGAACCTGATGTCTAAGAGCAGGAGGAAGTAGATTGGCATGGGAAGAGAGAGAAAGAGCAAGAAAACCCAGCAAGCTGTTTATTCCCCATCTTCTGCCTGCTTTGTTATAGCCACACTGACAGCCAGTTGGATGGTGCCCACCCACATAGACGATGGGTCTTCCCTCTCCCAGTCCACTGACTCAAATGTCAATCTCCTCTGGAAACGCCCTTACAGACACACCTGGAAACGCTTCACCAGCCTTCTTGTCATCCTTCAGTCCAGTCGTTTCTTTCCATGTTTAGTTGTTCCCTCACAGCTCTTGTAAGTCAGGCCTGGTGGTGACAAACATCTCTCAGCATTTGCTTGTCTGTAAAGGGTTTATTTCACCTTCACTTATGAAGCTTAGTTTGGCTGGATATGAAATTCTGGGTTGAAAATTCTTTAAGAATGTTGAATATTAGCCCCCCGCTCTCTTCTAGCTTGAAGGGTTTCTGCCAAGAGATATGCTGTTAGTCTGATGGGCTTCCCTCTGTGGGTGACCCAACCTTTTTCTCTGGCTGCCCTTAACATTTTTTCCTTCATTTCAACCTTGGTGAATCTGATGATTATGTGTCTTGGGGTTGCTCTTCTTGAGGAGGACCTTTGTCTGCTTTGTGCTGGGTACTGGGCCAGGCCCTGGGGATACAAAGGTAAACAAAAGAAGCTCCTATTTTAGTTATGAAGACACACAGTTACCAAGTGCTAGAGTAAAAGAAGAGGAGCTAACTTGGCTCAGTTATAGAAAGCTGCTTAGAGGACCCTGAGCTCAGTCTTAAAAGATGAGTACATGGTAGGCAGACGAAGCTACGGGTGTTTCTATGGGAGATGGGAGGAATTTTTCCAATTGGAGGAAATCGTGCATGCACATGAACAGATATGGCAGAGCATCATATGGTTTGGGAACTAATTTATATGACTAGAATTTATGGGGGTGGTTCATTGAGGTCATAGGGATAACAAGAATCCCATGGGAACACAGAAATCACAAAGAAACCAATGTACTGTCATCCAGCAGTGCTTCACCCAGATTAGAGTATATATATATATATATATATATACACATATATATATGGAATTGAAAAGCAGTTCAGGTTCCAGGGCAGTTCTAGTATTATTTTGTTGTAACCTCACAGTAAGAGTTGGTCCTCTTCTATTATGGTGATTTCATTATTCTATTCATTTCTAATACTTCAGACAATTACTTTACCTTCCATTCAGAACACCCAGAAGTTTTTGCTTACTTATTTTCTGTTTATTCAAGAGTTTCCAAACCCAGCTTGTCATCACCTTTGCCTTCTCTCTGCATATCTTCAGCCTCTCTTTGGCTACTGAGTAGCCCTCTTTATGTCTCAGGTACCGAGCTCCTCATAGAAAATGACCTGATTGGTGTATTTGTTCTCTGTTTGAAAGAATTTTCTTGCCACACTGTCTTATATGTCACTGACCAGCCTTCAGGCTGACTGCTCTGGACCAATCATCTGGATCCAGAAGTTTTATCAGAAGGGCACAGGGACCCCACTGAACAGAGGCAGTGGGGAGGGTAAACATTCTGAGATTTGGTCTTTTCAGTACAGTGGAGGAAGGAAAAAAACAGAAGAGGTATCAAGGATACTAGAATAGGAGACAAGAGATATGATAAATATTTAAGAAGAGGAATAGCACTTAGAAACCTATTAGATATTTAGAGATGGGGGATCAGGTAGAAAGAGAGAAGTCTAGAAGAGTCATCGATTTCTGGCTTGGGCAGCTGGGTAGATGTTGGTAACCAGATTGAGAGAATAGAGGAAATGGGACAGATAGAGTATAGAAGCAAAGAAAGATGCATTTTACTACACATGCAAGTTTGAAGTACCAGGAAACATCCAAAGGGAGAAACCTAGTAGGCACTCAGATACATGGAACTGCTGCTAAGCAGATAAGCTATATTTTGTTATAGGTAACAGAAACTTATTTCAACAAGCTTATGCAAAAGGGCCAGGCCTGTGAACGAGAACAGATGTTTACATCCCATTAATACAACCCCAAACCTCTCACCTCTATCTATCTTTGCAGGTAAGAGAACCTACAGTTAACTGACTTCTACAAGTGACGAAGGACATAGACATGGTTATGGGAACTCTGGGCTTATTATTATTATTATTATTATTATTTTGAGACAGGATCCTGCCTTATCACCCAGGCTGGAATGCAGTGGCACGAACAAGGCTCACTGCAACCTTCGCCTCCCAGGCTTAAGCGATCTTCCCGCCTTAGCTTCCTGAGTAGCTGGGACCACAGGTGCAGCTACCATGCCTGGCTAATTTTTATTTATTTGTTCATTTTTTGTAGAGATAAAAGTCTTGCCATGTTGTCCAGGCTGCTTCTTGAACTGAGCTCAAGCAATCCTCCTGCTTCAGTCTCCCAAAGTGCTGGGATTACAGGCATGAGCCACCATACCCAGGCTCTAGGCCCACATTCTAAATACTCTGTAACTAGCAGAAAAAGCTGATTTGTCTACCTTCGAGATGAAAAATCCTAGGGGAAGAATTCAGTTATTTGTACTGGCTCATTACCCTTCCTTAAACCAGTCCCTGTGGTCACGGAAACATTAGGTACTGTATTTAGCCAAGTTATCCCTGCGGCTGGGGTGAGTGAGGTCTTTTCCCAGAAGAAGACTATCACAGGAAGATTCTGGACCAATATAGTTTCCTTACTGAATAACTTGGTTTACTTTCCAGTTTGTGTAAAATATATAATAAATAAATCCAATTTTTCTGCAGCAGCTCAAACTGGGACAACTCTGTGCAACCTTAATCATTTCTATGTATTTCTCTGAGACTGAGTATTTTGAAGTTATATGGGGAGTAACCTCATCTCTCCAGAGTGTCACTTTAAGAAAAAGATGGCTAGTAGCAGGGAAGGTAGAATCCTGGAGAACATGTGAAAAGATTCAAGGGCAGATATTCTTAATTCTGCCAGTGTTATATATCAGTGGCCCCTCCAAAGTCTGTGCTTATAAATGCAACAGATCAAAATGAGACCTGCCGCCAATTTCCAGGGAATGTTGGAGGAGGAAAACTCTCATTAATATTAGTCTTTCCCTCCTATTCTATTTTTGGGGATGCTTGAGAAGATACTTTTGCTTTAATTTTTTTTTATTTTAAAAAATAGAGATGGAGTTTTGCCATGTTGCCCAGGCTGGTCTAGAACTCCTAGACTTAAGCAATCCATCCACCTCGTCCTCCCAAAGTGCTAGGATTACAGGCATGAGCCACTGCACCTGGCCAATACTTTGTTTTGTTAGGGGAAAAATGTTCAGTATTTGAAATATTGGTTGTGAAAGTCTTGGTTCCACCTGCATTGGTGCCTTTTAAAACAAATTTGGAATATAGTGGAGGAGGAGGCATATATAAGTGGACTTACTTATATATGCAGAATATATCTCTGGAAAGATATCACAAACATTAAAAGACCAATAATATTGGTTCCCTTCCAGGAAGAGAACTTATAAGTGGCTAAGGGATGGGGGACAGGACTGGAAATTTTACAGTATACTCATTTATATCTTTTGGAATTGAATTATTTGAATGTACTGCCTAAAGTATAAATAATAAAACATTTTAATCAAAATTAAAGGCCTAAGCTGTCTCATAGAATCTAATGGGGAAGTAGGTGACTACTGGGAACTAGTGAGAAATAGTCTATACTGAGGAGTTTGTGATAGGAGGTCTTTGTTAGAGATTAAGAAGTCATCAGCACTGAGGTTGCAATGGAAGTAATGGGTGAGTTGTGTATTGACAGCCTTGGGATGGATACAGTAGTCCCCCTTATCTGCAGTTTCACTTTCTGCAATTTCAGTTACCCAGTCAACTGGGTCCAAAAATAGATAAGTAGAGAACAATAATATATTTTGAAAGAGAGAGAACACATTCACCTAAGTCTTATTACAGGATACTGTTTTAATTGTTCTACTTTATTGTTACTTGTTAATTTCTTGCTGTGACTAATTTAGACATTAAACTTTATCATAGGTATGTATGTATGTATAGGAAAAAACAGTAATTATATATAAGGTTTGGTTCTATTTGGTATGCAGTTTCAGGCATCCACTGGGGATCTTGGAGCATATCTCCAACAGTTAAGGGAGGACTACTGTATACAGGAAAAGAAGCTGCCAAAGAAAACGAGAAAGATTGAATCAAGGACAGGACAGTCACTGGGGGAGTAGTGTTTAGCAGCCAAAAGAGGCATCTGAAAAGGAAGGCCTATAGTAGTAAATGAGGACCCTATTTTATGTGCTGTTTATGCTTATTTTATCCATTATTGGATGAAAATTATCAACAAAGTGCTTATTACCAATTTTATCCTGAGAGATTATTCATAATGCTAAATTTTAAATATTCTGAATCCCCAACAAGCCACGTTAAAAGCCATTAACATTATGTACTGTTTTTTAAAACATTAAGCATTATTCTTTGGAATATTATGTACTGTTTTTTATTTTTTTTTATTTTTTATTTTTTTTTGAGACGGAGTTTCACTCATGTTACCCAGGCTAGAGTGCAATGGCGCGATCTCAGCTCACCGCAACCTCCGCCTCCTGGGTTCAGGCAATTCTCCTGCCTCAGCCTCCTGAGTAGCTGGGATTACAGGCATGCGCCACCATGCCCAGCTAATGTTTTGTATTTTTAGTAGAGACGGGGTTTCACCATGTTGACCAGGATGGTCTCGATCTCTTGACCTTGTGATCCACCCGCCTCGGCCTCCCAAAGTGCTGGGATTACAGGCGTGAGCCACCACGCCTGGCCTATGTACTGTTTTTTAAAACATTAACATTATGTACTGTTTCTAAAAACATTAAGCATTATTCTTTGGAATATTCTTTGGGAGGCTAAGGCAGGAAGACCATTTTAGCTCAGGAGTTCACAAGAAGCTTGGGCAACATGGTGGACCTCCTCTCTACTAAAATGTAAAAAAATTAGCTGGGCATGGTGGCGCACCTGTAATCCCAGCTACTGTGGGGGCTAAGGTGGGTGGATCCCTCAAGCCTGGGAGGTTAAAGCTACAGTAAGCTGTGATCATGCCACTGCACTCCTGGCAACAGAGTGAGACCTTGTCTCAGAAAAAAAAAAAAAAGAAAGAAAAATAGCTCTATGAAAAAGCTTTAGGAAATAAAAACGTATGCAACAAAAATAAATGCAAGTTTGAAAAACAAAGTTAAGAAATTTTTTACAACTAGAGCAACAAAAAACAAAAATGGAAAATAGAAAAGATTAAAAAAATTAGGAGGCAAGCGGAAGTACAATATTAAGTAATGAGTCCCCCAAAAAAAGAACTGAAAATAGGCAGAAATTATCAAAGAATAAATATAAGAAAATTGCTGAGAACTGCAAGATGAGTCTAAATTGAAATGATCTACTTAATACCCAGCAATGTAAAAAAGATAAAACAATCCAAACCAAGACATACCATTGTGAAATTCCAGAACATCCAAAATAAGGAGAAGCTCTTAAAAGATTGTAGGTCGTAGGTGTAGTGGTAGGATTAGGGATCTGTAACCGCTTAGAAGGGTACACAGATCAAAATGGCACTTTTTCAGTGCACAATGGGTATTTGGACTTAAGGACTTCAAAAATCTGAGGAAGGGCTGGGCACAG